TTTAATGTATATAAAATTGTATCCAGTTGATACTTGATGAGGAGATTGAGCTTGTAAAACACTTTTAAAAGCTCTTTGTCATATCAATACATCCCTTGTACAAGAAAGGTTAATATTTAACACTTAAAATGTCTTATTGTTATTTGTGAAGTACCTGAAGGGTTTTTTTTGTTTTTTTTCCCTTCATTTTTGTGAATTAGGTGATCTTATCTCCATTTTACAGATTGAAAAACTGGGTGGAGAGATTAAAACCAATATTGTCAAATCTCAGGCACCTAATTCCAGTTTTAGTTACCCGCGTAAAAATGGCTTAACTTTTGAAGTGATGAACTTGCTCCCCTTCCCTGGCCCCAGCCGTGTCAATAGGGTGAGGCGGGGGTGTGTGTGTGTGTTGGGGAAAGGACCGCCCACCGCATTCACCGGTGGCGGGAAGCTGAGGAGTAGAGCAGGCTGGGGCTGGGTTGCTCCGCTTCCCACCGCTGCCGGTGAGTGCGGGGGTGACCCCTTCCCCCAAGCCCGCTCCCCTGAGCGACATGAGTGGGGGTCGTGGAGCAGGCTGGGGCTGGGTTGTTCCACTTCCTGCTCCTGGCCCCCCGCTAATGCCCCGGGCCACTCTGAGTCTGGGGGGCCCCCCACAGCTCCTGCCTCCCCAGCCCTGCAGGCCTTGAGCACAGCCCAGAACCTTGGCGGGGGGGAGGAGCAGGGGCTTGGGCTGCGTAGGGCACCATAATTGTTAACCCTGGGAGGCAGTCTCCTATACGTGTTCCCACTCACCCCTCTCGTTCACAAGGTGCTCCTCAAGATACCGAGGGATCGAGTGGTGGTAATATTGATAGCCCCAGCCTAGCTCCAGCAACACTGGTACGCATCTCTCCTGGAAATATCTGTGGAAGCCCCAGTGACGTTGCCGCTCTTCCCTGACTTAATAACTCAGGATCACGGCTGTCTCCAGCACCTGCACCTCACGGTGTGGAAGCTCCATGGCTAAATCCGGTGGAACTTTCCTGCTCGGACCAGGTTAGACAAGTCTTGTTTGGCAATAGGAAAACCAGGGCCACCTACCTTGCCAAGTGGAAGAGATTCTGAATCTGGTCGGCACAGCACCGTTCGTCCCCGACGCTTGCCTCTATTCCACTCATATTGGACTACCTTCTCCATCTCAAGCAGCAGAGATTGTCCATGTTATCAATAAGGGTTCACTTGGCCGCCATCTCTGTCTTCCATCCAGGTGCAGAGGACTGGTCAGTCTTGTCCACCCTATGGTCAGCAGTTTCCTCAAAGGTCTCGACAGGCTATATCCGCAAGTTCGACAGCCAGTCCCGGCCTGGGACCTCAACCTGGTCCTTTCCAGGCTCATGGGACCGCCCTTTGAACCGCTAGCGACATGCTCCCTGCTCTACCTCTCGTACAAAGTCACATTTCTGATAGTGATAACCTCAGCCAGGAGGCTGTCTGAGCTCAAGGCCCTAACATCAGCGCCTCCTTACACGGTGTTCTATAAGGACAAGGTTCAGCTCACACCACACCCAGCTTTCCTCCCGAAGGTTTTCTCCCATTTCCACAAAAACCAGGACATCTTCCTCCCAGTGTTTTATGCTAAGCCGCACTCAAGCGGCTGGGAGAAGAGACTTCACTCATTGGATATCTGCAGAGCATTAGCCTTTTACATCGAGAAAACAAGGCCATTCCAAAAGCCTGGACAACTTTTCGTGGCTGTGACAGACAGAATAAAAGGTCTTCCAGTCTCCTCTCAATGAGTTTCATCGAGGATCACATCCTACATCCAAGAGTGTTACAAACTGGCAGAGGTGCTTGCCCCTCAGCTCACTCCACCAGGGCGCAGGCTTCTTCAGCAGCATTCCTGGTGCAGATTCCCACCCAGGAAATATGAAGAGCGGCGATGTAGTTGTCCATACACACTTTCACCACGCACTATGCCATCACCCAGAAGGCCAGAAACAATGCGGCCTTTGGTAGAGCAGTGCTCCAATCAGTGGACAACTCCAACCCCACCTCCGTAACTTACGCTCGGGAGTCACCTGATTGGAATTGACATGAACAAGCACTCGAAGAAGAAAACAGTTCTTCGAGATGTGGTGTTCATGTCCATTCCAATATCCACCCTCCTGCCCCACTGTCAGACTAGCTGACAAGAAGGAACTGAAGGGGGGTTGGGTCAGCAGGTTACTATATTGAGCACCGTGAGGGCATGACTCCAAGGGATGCCCAGACCGACCCTACGGATACTTCTAGAGGAAAAATCTTCTGGCTGTTGTGCATGTGGCGCGCGCACACCTCATTGGAATGGACATGACCACATCTTGAAGAACAACAGTTACGAGAAGGTGAATAACCATTTTTTCAGGGTGCGGAAGGAGGCTCTGGGCTGGGGGATGGAGCCGAGAGGTTCGGAGTATGAGTGGGGGCTCTGGGCTGAGGCAGGGGGTTGGAGTGTGGGAGGGGGTGCGGGTTCCAGGGTGGGGCAGAAATGAGGGGTTCAGTATGTGGGAGGAGGCTGGGGAGGAGTATGTGACCCTTCTTGACCCTCCCAAGTGTCACCTTTGTAGGTACCCAACTTTAGGCACTGAAGTTTGCAAATTTTGGACTAAGTGATTTGCCCACAGCAACTAAAGGAGTACCTGAGATGGGCAAAGAACTCAAGTAAAATGTACTCTCACAAACATAATGTGGCTAAGTTAACACTGCTGTACAGATCTTTACTATTGAATTTCCTGACCTATGTGTGGTTAATTTATTGCATTAACTTTTTTGCATTTAATTTCTAGCATTGGAGGGAGGTGATAAATCGTGAAGAAGATTGTCTATTATTGCTCAAGGACATTCACTGAGCAATCCTCGCTGCCAGTGACAAATAATATCATATATGGAACAAACTCAAAGAGCAGATAGTGCTCCTCAGTTAAAATGATATCTTATTTGTGCCTGTTACCAGTCTTTCATACATTTAGGGCGTGAAAGAGTTTCACCTAAATTACTTTAGTCTTAAGGCCTTCCTGAGTTCATGCCCATAACCACTTATTTGAATATTTAGTATTAGCACAAACCTGTATAAGGATTGTTTCCATCAGAATATTGTTCCATAGTCTTTTAATTAAAATATTTTTGAAAACACTTAATACAAAGAAGATAATGTATACTAATAGAGCAGGGCTAAGCACAGTAACAATATTATTAATAATTTATGGGATACAATTTAACATTTACTTGATTATGTGATTATAAATAGGTAATCACACTGATAATATTCAATAGCAATATCGTGTTTGCAAGCCATTACCGAAGTGAGTTTCAAGTGTAGAAAGTTCTTTTCAGTAACAAAGACGGAAGGTTTCAGAGTAGCAGCTGTGTTAGTCTGTATCCGCAAAAAGAACAGGAGTACTTGTGGCACCTTAGAGACTAACAAATTTATTAGAGCATAAGCTTTCGTGGACTACAGCCCACTTCTTCGGATGCATACAATATGCAAGAAGGAAGGGTATTTTGCCAGTTGTGGTAGGTAGGGAGCTATGGTAAGAGAGGTTCATGTATCAATTTTGTCATGGTTTGAAGTTGAAGAGCTTTTCTTTGTATTCCAAATAATCTGAACATATGAACTATAAGGCAGTTAACAAGTTATTTTTACAGGTTTCATTGTAGGGATATGAAATAGGAATCCATCAGATAGCTGTAATTGTTTCAACATTAGTTAATACTTTTGCGGTCTCCCGAACGTCTTCCAGATAGCTGGTATCATTAGTAAAGCCAATTAGCCAGAGTGATGTTTTTTTAAATTTGGTGATGAGTAACTGTGCTCTCATTACTGGTTTACTGTATTTAGAACTAACAACAATTAATTGGGCAGTTCCACACTAATGAAAGACACTTAGGACAGCTTGATGACAATTCTTGAAGACCTAGGTTCAATTCCCTGTTCATCTTCCGACTTCCTTTCTGACTTTGGACACCTCACTTGGTCTCTCTGTCCCCCAATTTCCCATCTGTAAAATAGGGATTATAGTAGTCCCTGGCCTGGGGTGGGCAGGGTCGCTCTAAGCAGAAATACATTAAAGAACCCTGAGTCATTGTGGTGACAGGGGCCAGCTATGTACTTTCACTTGAATTTTAGACAGATTTTGTTAGCTAGAATGAGTGAGTTGTGTAACTGACGCAAAAAATTACATGTGCACATAAGTGATTTAAATCAAAGATCTGTTCAGAGAGTGGCATGCTACAGCGCTGCTTGGATTTAAATCCCCAACTCACTTCTACAGGCCACTTCTGTACCTCATAGCTCTAAAATGGCTTGGTCTGGAAAGTACCCCCTTACTTGTGGTAGCTGCTAAGAAATGCCTTTGGTAAATGTGTGGAGCCAGTGCAGGGGCAGTGGGTGGGAGTCTGAGTACTGGTTTCAAGTATCAGAGGGGTAGTCGTGTTAGTCTGAATCTGTAAAAAAGCAACAGAGGGTCCTCAGAGCACCTCACCCTCCCTGATTGAACTAACCTCGTTATCTCCACACGGATATATACCTGCCTCTGGAGATTTCCCTTACTTGCATCTGAAGAAGTGAGGTTCTGACCCACGAAAGCTTATGCTCCCAATACTTCTGTTAGTCTCAAAGGTGCCACAGGACCCTCTGTTGCTGAGTACTGGTTGTGAGTGTACCAAGAGCACACTTGTAGCCTATAGATTTACAACCCTAACCTACCTGGCCACCTCCTGCTGCTGGCACCTGCTGGACCGAGGCCGAGGTGAGGGGCGTGCATGGAGGAACGGAAGCCTGGGGCCCGTCGAGGGAGACAAGAGCCCAGGCGAAGCGGTGGGGTGGGCTACAGCGTGAGGCAGCACGAGACTGGGCCGGTGGCGTGTGCAGGGGGTTAGGGCACGCGCACATGCACAGACCGCGGTGCCGCTTTAAGAGCCCGCACCCGGCCACTCAGGAGCGCGCCCCGTAGCCAATCAGGACGCTGTAGCGGCGCGAGCGGGGCTGAGGCGTGTCCAATGGCAGGCGGCGGAGGGCGGTGCGGGCGTCCGGGGCACTATTGTTGATGAGGCACACGGAGCAGGCGGCTCGGCTGTTGGCAGCGCGAGGGGCCTTGCGCTCGGGGAGGGGGGGTGCGAGGTGTTTACACCCCCTTGAGGAGCCGTCCGCGGTCGCGGTCTCTCCCGGAGCTGGACACGCAATGTCCCACCAGCGCGTGAGGCGCAATGGCTCCCCCACCCCTGCTACCTCCTTGGGGGGAGGGGGGGCAACCGTGGCGGCAGGCGGGGGAGCGAGCAGCCGCCTGCAGCCCATGCGGGCCACGGTGCCCTTCCAGCTCAAGCAGCAGCAGCAGCAACATGGCAGCCCCACGAGGAGCGGCGGCGGCGCCGCGTGCGCCTCAGGCGGGGGTCTCTCACGCGCGGCGCCTGCCTCGCGCAGCACCAGCCCCACGCGCGCAGCGCCCCCGAACGGCGGTAGCGCGCGCGCCAGCCCCGCGGTGGCCACGCAGACGCCCGGGGGAGGGGTGGTAGCGGCCCCGCCGCCTCTGTCTCCTCGCGTGGCAGCCCCACGCGCGCCGGCGGGGCGGGAGCGCGTGGGAGCCCCCCGCGCCCCTCACCAACTGCCGCCCCCCTCCTCCCCCCGCCACCCCCTCCGCTGCCAGGCTCCGTTCTGTCCCCTTGCGCCTCCCCCGTCCCGCCTTTGCCGGAGGGCAGTGCCACTGCCTCGGCTGGCAGGGTCCGGCATCGCCAGCGGCGGCGCTCCCCAGAGCAGGGCAGGAGCTCCCCGGAGAGGAAGAGCCCCAGCTCCCCCGTCTGCAAAGGTGAGAGAGTGTGAGTGTGTGGGCAATGGAGACCCTAGGGAGGAGGCTCTGGGGCGCAGCCTTTCTTCTCTTGGCAGCCTTGCTGGCCCCCTTCGTCTGCGGGACGATGGTGTGACGGGGGCGAAGCGCTGCATGACGGGGTGGCAGCAAGGCCCTATGTCTGTGGGTGGGCCCAGTGGTGGCGGGGGGAGGATGGTAACTGGGGACCCTGTCAGGTGGAAAGGTGGTTGACTTGGCCATTGGAAATGGGGGTGATGGTGGCTGGGGCCCAATAGTGATTGGGAGAGGTCCGCATGGGGCAGTGGAAACGTGGGTTGTGGTGGCTCAAAGCCTGCGTGGTTAAGGTGGGTAGGAGATGCCCTCACCTCCTGGGGGTGATGGCAGTGCTTGGCCCAGTGTGGCTGCACTGAGTGCTGAAGTGCCACTGCATCCAAGGTAGTAGTGGAAACTTTTTCTGTTAGGGTGTTTACACTGCAATTAAAAACCTGCAGCTGGCCCATGCCAACTAACCTCAGGCTTGCAGGGCTTGGGCTAAGGTGTTGTTTATTATGGTGTAGTTGTTTGAGCTTGGGCTGCAGCTTGGGACCCCTCAAAGGAGTTAGCTGGCTTGGGCCAGCCACAGATTTTTAATTGCCATGTAGACATATCCTTGCAGTAATCGATGTTCCAGCTTCTCAGCATATCACTTGCTGCAGAGGAAAGTATTGTTTAGTATGGGCCTGAAAGTCAGGACATTTTGTGTTCTATGCCTGGTTCCTCCACCGACTTACATGTCTTTGAGCAAGTCACTTTAGAATCAGACAAAGTGATGTCTGTCTGTAACTTGGGAATAATGACTTTTGCTTTGGTGGCAGAGGGGGACATGATAATTAACTTTTTGAACAGCAATTTACGTACATAAAGTTCTATGTAAGAACAAGTATTTCTGGAGGGCAGAGGAGGTTTGGGAGGGTGAGGAAAAGATGGGGATGCGCTCAGACTTGTCTGACTTTTTCTTCAGGACCAGTTTAACGTCACTTATTGGCTTGCTGTAATGTTTATGTAGTGAATGGCTGATGGTACTATTACACTTTTCACTTGCTAGTTCCATCATCTTTCAGTTACAGAATGGCAGTCAGTATTGCAGTATTTTTTTACGCTTGTTCTTAGTATTTACAGAAAGCAAAAAGCGTAGAGGGAGAAGAAAATGAATAAAATACTCAGCCCTTCTGTAGAGCACTGATTCTCAAACAGGGGTCCAGGGTCCCCTGGGGGTCCCTGATCAGATTTCAGGGAGTCCACCAAGGACCGAGCTTGAGCCCCCGCTACCTCCACCCCCTGACTCATGTCAATGTGCCACCTAGCTTTTCTGGGTTTGGGGGTGGGAGGGTGGGGGAGAGACAACCAAAAATTGCAGCATCACTGCAGAGGAGAGCTCTCCCCCTGCCATCAGAAGGAGTTACTTCACAGACATTAAAAAGCAACAGAGAGTCCTGTTTCAGAGTAGCAGCCGTGTTAGTCTGTATCCACAAAAAGAAGAACAGGAGTACTTGTGGCACCTTAGAGACA